GCACGAGTACGGGAAAACAAGGCGCGACCGACGATTGGCCGGCGATGCCATCATGGCGACGAGCCGCGACCAATCCGCGGCCACGGATTTCTTTTCACCAATTCGTCATTGATTTTAGGTTTATGAATGGGACCCGCTTACGCTACTGCATCCCTTTCAAGATACTACTACGGGCAACCGTCGAGCCTCGACTTAAAGAGAATCTTACGTTACAATGAGCGAATTTCAACGTTTCTCGTCAGATCAATGAATAAATTAAAAATTCAAACACTGCACCCTGTTCCCGAAGAATAAAGACACAACCGCAAGAAAGTAATTTCTCAGCGGATTAAGAAGGAAATAACTGTTTTGTCGGGCTTACGATTTAATCATGGAAAAATGTAATTAAGGTTTTGTGGAATGCAATTTATTTAACTTTCTCATTCGTAATAAGCGAATCATCTGTAATGAAATTAATTGCTGATGTTTTCGAAACGTTTTAACATGATGAAATGCTCGCTTCAATTTACAGTATCGATTCGTCGATGAATGGGGCAGATTAAATAAAAAGACACTCCATGATTAGGCGATATTACGGGCTCGATTGGTATTCGGTAGTCCGATAATTATAATCGACGATTATAATCTTCGGATTACTTGAAATTGGGGCTGCAAAATGGAATTTATAGTGGTCGAAAATGATCGGGCATTGGGAATTATATTATAAATTGATCTCATTGCTTATTCATAGAAGTGAGTCGAGTAGAATGACATCAAAGAGAGAGAGAACATCTGGGCTGACCTAGTGGCTCGAATTTCCTTTTTCATTTCGTGTGCCTAATTTATTTGATTCTTCCTGTTCGAGGGCCTACGCTTATTACCCTATTCTATTTCAGTTGTCCCAGTTACTTAATCAATTCACCTATGAAATATATTACCCTACAAATAGCTCGAAACTCTACTCGCCGTTTCTTGAATCGCATTCTTCCTATCAAAGGAACTTCTCCTTACTTGAAAGCTTCGATTCACTTGGCATCGACTGTGTAATTGATCGATTAATACTAAAACTACCGAGCACTTCAATTGACTTTTGAAAATTTCGCTATAGAAACTCCAAGAGTGCATCTGTTCAGACTTTAATTGATTGACAATTTAATTTGTGTAGTGCTAAATGAATTTCTTTCATAATTTCTCAGAGAAACATTTGTCTTTCTAATAATTGCAAAAAGAAGACATCGTGGGTCATTTGACCTCTCTGGTAGTTTTAGTGTTAAAATATGAAAAACTCTCTCCAACTCAAACCGAAATAACCTGATTGCAGAACAATTTAAACAATAAAAAACATTCTACCGAACGAATAGATTTATTCAACCCCATAACACTTGCAAATCCATTTATATCTCATAAATACTTCTTAATCACTTCTTATAAATAATACCAATTTCAATTTCAAGATTGCATAAATTATTTCTCCTTTGATCGCTGGCAGGCGAGGTTTTATCAAAATTTTCGTTTGACTTCCACGTCTTTTGACGCCGAGGGGTCGGGAGTGCATGCGAAATAGATAAATGTTGCACGAATTCGCAGAAAGTAGAAGGGGCCGAGAGAAGTCGCGGCGAGATAACGAGTCAAGTGACACGGAACGCACACGACGACGTGTTTTCGGTCGAGCCGACCCTCCTCTCTCGCAACCACGCGCAGCCAATCGAGGGGTTAAGCGTTTCCAGGCTCGCCTGCCTAGGGTTAGAGCCTCAAGTGTCAGAGTAGCTCCCATCCGGGAAGGAAGACGGTCTATGAGTTCAACGATTCCATTTGCACGCGCGCACACAGACGTCGTCTGTGCCGGAAGGGTGACGAGAATCACGGCGGAGGGGACGGAGGCCGATTATATTGAAGAACGACGCGAGAACTTGGACGTGGAAACCGCGATTGCGTATTCGAGAAGAAGGAGCCGCTGAAAATTCCCAACTTTCTCGATCGAATTGATTTTCATTCTTTAATACCGCACGAATCCTCTCCTTTTATTGGAAATGCTGAACGCGTCA